TGAGAAAGAGACAGGGGTTTATAAAGAAAAAGCAGTAAATTGAGAAAATCCAGAAAAATAAAAATCAAAGAACAGAAGGAAAGAAAGTTGGGGACAATCGATGAGAAATGAGAGAAAAATGAAATCCGGAAATTTCAGGAAATGCATGAAGAGAGATAAAATTGTGTAAAGAAAGAGAATCATTAAGAGAAAGAAACAAAACTAAGCATAATTAAAAGAGGGAAAATAATAAGCTGATGAGCGAAAAAGAAAAAACAATTTCTAAAATCATCTGCTAATAGAAAGTGAGAAAAATAGGCCGTGCGAAATGAGCTTTATTGCAACTGTAATCAAATTAAAACGTTATAATATGCTGCTCGGGTGTAAAATATACGTGACCTATGATTTCATTAGTGCTTTTATAGAGAAATCACAAACGACGGAGAAAAACACAATGAAAACAATGGAACATTGTAAACGTTAGCAGATGAAATTTATTAAGGAAGGTCATAAAAATTAATTAGAGAATTCAGTTATAAATAGTCGCAGAAACCAATGTGAATATATATACTTGCCTATAAAAGGCAACTATCATATCAGAATTATATCAATTAATTCGTAGTCTACTGACGGAAAAAATATATTTTACATATACAAAAATATTTATCATTGTAAATGCAGTTAATACTAAAAAATATAATAATAGTAATAATAATAATAATGAGAAGAAGAAAAAAAGAAAAAAAGAAAAAAGAAGAAAAAAAAAAAAAAAGAAAAAAAAAAAAAAAAAAAAAAAAAGAAAAAGAAAAGAAAAAAGAAAAGAAAAAGAAAAAAAAAAAAAAAAAAAAAAAGAAAAAAAAAAAAAAAAGAAAAGAAAAAAGAAAAGAAAAAAAGAAAAAAAAAGAAAAAAGAAAAGAAAAAAAAGAAAAAGAAAAGAAAAGAAAAAAAAAAGAAAAGAAAAGAAAAAGAAAAAAGAAAAAAAAAAAAGAAAAAGAAAAGAAAAGAAAAAAAAAAGAAAAGAAAAAGGAGAAAAGAAAAAAAAGAAGAAGTAAAAAGAGGAAGAAAAAGAAAGAAAAAGAAAAAAGAAAAAGGAGAAAAAGAATAAGAAGAATACGAGGAGGAAGAAGAAGAGGAAGAAGAAGACGAAGAGGAAGAAGAAGAGGAAGAAGAGGAGGAAGAGGAAGAAGAAGAGGAAGAGGAAGAAGAGGAAGAAGAAGAGGAAGAAGAAGAAGAGGAAGAGGAAGAAGAAGAGGAAGAGGAAGAAGAAGAGGAAGAGGAAGAAGAGGAGGAAGAGGAAGAAGAGGAGGAGGAGGAGGAAGAAGAGGAGGAGGAAGAAGAGGAGGAGGAAGAAGAGGAGGAGGAAGAAGAGGAAGAGGAGGAGGAGGAGGAAGAGGAAGAAGAAGAGGAAGAGGAGGAGGAAGAAGACGAAGAAGAAGAAGAAGAAATAGAAGGAAAATAAGAAATAGAAGAAAAATAAGAAATAGAAGAAGAATAAGAATAATTATGAAAGATCCGTGTAGTAGAGCAGCAGTTTTGAAGAATATATTCCAGCAAATATTGTACTGTAAAACCGCTGATTCACTCTGATCCAAACTATGTTGAAAAACTTCTGAGAATGTGCAAACCGCTGCTTGTGGCTCCAATCAGCTTTCACGCAAAGGAGTAAACAAGACGTCTTCACGGAGCACCCTTCAGAATACACTGCCGACTATACAGGATGTATTACCTCGATCGAACAGAACAGCGGTACGAACACCCACCCACCTCAATTTCTTCGTAGAAATGTTTCTTGTCTTGCCACTTTCTTTAAAAGTACTTCGTGGATTACGCGATCAGTTCATGGTATTCTCAGTGTCCTTCTGCAGTATCACATTTGTGTAATCTTCAGTTTTCTCTTCGTCTCTCAGGAGATTGCTAAGCATTAATTGCCATATAAAATATGTGCATCACTTACCAATCCAGTCGTTTTCTTTGTTTGTAACGATTTTGTTTCTATTTCTTAGTACTTCTATAGGTTTTGTAATACACCTCCCGCTAATCCATTGCGCGGTCCGATCTTGCTCTAGCATGTTTAATTAATATCGAATTTATTGTAGTACCTAGTATAGAATATTTCTCCTTTTATCTTATGTTTATATGTTTTAATTAAAAGCGATATTTCAATAATACAGTCAATTATTATATTCACCCAAATGTGCCGTTAGTGAGCCCTAACAAACAGGTTATTAGGGATTAACGGCATCACATTTGACTTTTATATACACGTCCATTTCCCTACTGTACAACAATTTGTATATTCAGGTTTTAGTTTTATTATTTTTTAAATCCTTATATACTTTGTACTTTAGTAGATTATATAAATTGCCCTACATTTTGGCTAACAAACATGGATGGTGCACATAAATTACAGTGGGTGGTGAGAGTAAGAGAGAGTGTGGGTGATCAAAATTTTGAACATCCGGTCACAAAGATAGAAGAATTCTTTCTCTCACAAAAATAGTCGGCAACGAAAACATCTCATCTACCCAAATTTCCATTACAAATCTTAGGTTAAGATGGGTTATGGCGCTTCCCAAACTGCCACATGCCAGGATTCTCTCCCGTATACGATAAGGTCAAAAAGTCTCGTCACATTATATATATATATATATATATATATATATATATATATATATGAGAGAGTGTATGCGTGATTGATTGAAAAGTAACTGCCTATATAGTGTATGATGGACTCTCCATCTTTTAAAATTTCTTCACGATTTTGGAATTCAGAATTGTCTTTCCGTTAGACTACCAAACAAATACGAGCGGCCAGAGTCTACCCAACTTTTAACGGACGAGAGAAAAAATGGATTCTTATATTTAGCAAAGATATTCGTGAGAAAGTAAGCGTAAAAGCATTGACATCGTCAATGTGGCTTTCTGAGTCGAGGACATTAACGTTACGCCCATTTCAAGTCCCTTAAAAAAATGCAGTCTTTCAATGTAAGTTTACTTCAACAGCCCAGTTATTTCTCTATGTTACTGAGAAATGTATGGCTAGAGGTAGAGTCCTTCGTGATTAAAAGAAGTTGTTACTTTTCAATCACCCTGTATATATTATATCATGCTGAGCATTACAAATATTTTCCCAGGTTTAGTCATCACTCTCCCAATCCTCATTTCTTTGTGTCTATATGTAAAAATATATTGGACCTTTTGTCCAGGGAACTTCCTGTTCAATCCAAATGAGTACATAAAGACAATTTCTTCCTCATATACACACTTGAAGACATAATCGGATATAAAACGAAAGCCTATGGGTAATTTTTTTGTTTTAAATCTTGCGTAAACCAGGCTACATAAGTTGTCTTTGGTCACATAGCATATATTTAATAGTGTTTAATACCGCTATCTGCTTAATTTACATTATATTTACGTGTCCATCGAAGCGTGAACAAACAGCGTCATTATGCTCATGACCCAAGTAACCTACTTGGTACAATTAATCAATGTTAAACTGAAAATCGTTCACAGATCCTCGGCTTGATAAAAAACAGTGCAATCGTCAGATTTTTGCAGAGTTAATAAGATTACATTTACAGTCGACGGATTTCGTGATGGTACATATTCATTTCAGGATCGACTTAAAATGACAGAAAAAACTATGGAAAGAATTGAGGCAAAATCGTTTTTCAGAGATTGAATAATGCATGCTAAATACTCTCTTAAATATTTATAGTTCTAATTCAATTCAATTAATTTTTTCTGAGGCATAACAACAAAAAAACAAAAATTTTCTATGTCACTTCGTTACGTAGGCGATCATGGCTCTCAGTAGGTAGCTTTTATTTATTATCTGTGAAATGCTATATATTATTTGGAAAGAATAATTGAATTTCTATTGATTTCTTCACGATTTTGGAATTCAGAATTGTCTTTCCGTTAGACTGCCAAACAAATACGAGCGGCCAGAGTCTACCCAACTTTTAACGGGCGAGAGAAAAAAATGGATTCATATATTTCGCAAAGATATTCGTGAGAAAGTAAGCGTAAAAGCATTCACTGGAATTTGAACTCCCATCATCAATGCGGCTTTCTGAGTCGAGGACATTAACACTACGCCCATTTCAAGTCCCTTATAAAAATGCAGTCTTTCAATTTAAGTTTACTTCACCCCCCCCGCGTTATCTCTCTATGTTACTGAGAAAATGCAATATCACACACATATATGAGTGTGTATGTACACGTATGTGCAGTTATCCTTCTTTTATAGAAGTTTCCTGGATAAGATGGATAATGAAAATTCCCAAGATTTTATTCAGTTTCTCTGGGAAATGGTATTGACTTCAATGTTCACTTTTTTATATACATACGCTTTATCCGTGATATAGATGATTTAACCTATAGAATACTTTATTTATATATATATATATATATATATATATATATTGTGTGTGTGTGTATGCATCTCTACATGAAACAATAAAATTTACAGATCTGAAATTTACATTTAAGCACGAAAAAGATTGTTGCCATTAGGTGCTGACCTCACTGCATATATAGTTTATGAAAATCTAGGTAATTTGTATAGGTAAACCTAAGGAGGATAAAATCCAGAGAGCTCAATGTAAATTAGAGCAAATAATTTAAATAAAACAGACTACTTTAAGGTTCCTTAAAGTGGTCTGTTTTATTTAAATTATATATATATATATATATATATATATATATATATATATATATATATATATATATATATATATTCGCTTTTGCTCAAATATATGAACAACTATCAGAATTATGGTTTTAGAAAAGAAGAACAGGCAAACTTATCTTCACACTTGTGTGCGTGTATCATCGCCAGAAATGGTTTTGTTAATGTTGTAATACCGGACAATTGTAGAATAGGCCCAGAATCGTCGATTCGTCCGTTTTTGACTAAATTGAAAGTTTCCACATTTTGTCAATCTTCAACTCAATCTGAGAGAAAGATTTTAAATTAACGAAACCATAAAAATTGTATTTCATATTTTTCAAAACATCTCTGTATAGATTTCAGATATTAGCTTAGCTCACACGGGGAAAGAAATATGAAACTTCGAGAAAATGATTTGCTCAAATAGCTCAGTGACACCGTACTGAAAGAAATCTATGTCTAATGTCGCCTTCACACCTTCAGCACCTTGGCGATCATGAATCTCAAAAATTTCCTCTCCTGTTCATAAATGTTGTCTTTAATTATCTCTCGTAAACCTTGCACTGCCATTCATTTATGTAAGCTAGCTACGTGTTGTTTTCTTCTGTCTCATTTGCCTTCCATCTCTCTTGTGAGTATCAATTTTTTTAAACCTTCTTTCTTCATAATTTTTCGTAGAATTATCAACTATCATTTGTCATTTTTGTTTCTATTTTTTGTCATATTACATCCCTGCTCACATGTTTGTTTCATAATATTCTCAGTATCCTTCTGTAGAACCAGTCTGTTGCTTCTCGTGTCTTCGTCATCCGGAAGGAAAGTTACACATTTTCTGTCAACGAGGAGGACTAATGATAAGAAAAACGTTCAGTAATCATTTCTTTGTTTGTTAAAATATTAATAATTATCCAAAAATTGCTAAATATGATTTCTTTTAATATTGCTGTGTATATGTGTCACTGATGCGAACTTCAGTAATCTATGCTACTTTGTAAAAGTAAAAACATTTAGAAGCTGTAGATTTTTGGGGTCATCATTGTGTCATGTAACTGAAAGAATGAAGAATATATTATAAATTTTAAATCTCTCTCCTCCTTTTTCTTTAAAGTTCATGCTTATTCAGTATGTAGATGAGCAGAAGTCTCCACATAACACTTTTTATATGTAACGGTCCATGAATGTTTAGAAATAATTGACTTTCCTTCGGTAAGAAGGCGGTCATGACTTTCCACGTTGAGCTTTTATTTATTAAATGTGAGTTGGCATTTAAATTGTGAAAGAACATGAAGAAAGTCCACTTTGCCTTTAACGTTTGACATTCGTTTTGTTCCTTCTGTTAGACAGGTCGCCATTTATAGCTAGAGAGTCCATACTATATTGCTAATTAATCCATAACTAAGAGAGAAAACGCTTTCTTAACTTTATTATTTTCAATGAAAGCGCAACAAACTAGCTCGGAATTCGAACGCTACTTGTCGATTCAATTTTTCGAGCCGATTTCAATTACACGAAATGTAAACCATTTCCAAATAATACATATCGTTAACAACGAATAAATAATAACTAACAATGTATTCGTAATAGCAACATAAATTTCTCAATTTTACTACGATAACTGTGTTACAAAAATTGTGGAGAACTTTCGCTATAGGTGAATGTATGTTTATGGGAATTTACAGAATATGACTTGTTTAAATTCAAAGAAGCCATGATTAGTGTCGTATTTCCACATCTGTCTCGCCCTCCAGCATCGATTAGGACGATGTCTGTGTTTGTTTACATCAGGGAATGGTTATTTTCTTTACATATAAATGGTAATTTTCTTGTTCTGTTAAAAAAAAACTGTTTTGTAGATTTTCCGGAAATTCGAAGATATGTTATGCAAAATTTCGAATGGATGGATATAATCACAGGATACTTGCAATAATGTCATACCATTTTGAGGAAATGATTTCCTAATGATAATGGCGTATTTCCATTTTTTTAATTAGTTAGAAAATAAAAAAGTTGTGAAAAATCAGAAATTTAGCAAACAATTGGATTTTTTTCACGAATTAACCCGATTTAATGGTAACGTTGCTCCCGAAAAAAAAAATATATAATTTCATTAAGTAGCAAATAAATAATATATAAATTATGAAAATAATATGCCATAATGAACAACTTGAAAACAAATATATATGTTTCATACAAGAGATTGCACGAAATACCCAATGTTGTATATCGGCGCAAAATACAGAAATCTAAAAAACAAAACAAAAAAAAAACGACGGAGATATGATGAAAAATGGCATTTTAAACACACTGATGGGTCACAGAGGTAAATCTGAACACAATTCCGATCTAATAAATAAAATTCTGATCAAGAGAGGTATGGTTTCACTGAGAATAATATGCAGTTAGAGTGGGCTGATCTGACAATTTTCAAGAATCTTAAAACCAGATCCATGCATAATATCACCGATCATAGGAACAAAAATAATAGCACACTGAGGTATACGAGCTGGTAGAGACACAAAAAAAATTCTATTCGGTGTAGGCTGATTTAAAATCGAAGTTACAGTAAATATATATATATATAGTCTTAAGATGGGCTACATTTATGAGATAAAGTGCTCAATATCAGAGATAGAGCGTGTGTAAATCTAAAAGTGAACATAGAAATCAACTCTTAGAGGCGACAGTCTGTTTCATGCTAGATGAAATCGTCACGTGGCCTGGCGATTGCATCTAGTTTCGAAGATACCGAAATATCGAAACCAGGGTAGCGTTATCAGCTGATCTAAAAATAGTGTGTGTGTGTGAGAGAGAGAGAGAGAGAGAGAGGAAATATGAATATTTAC